GTTAGTGGAACCCCCCCCCCCATCCTCCTCCCTCCCCCCAGTGAGAGCCTCCGGATGCGGGTGATGCTGTCGGGACTTCTCCTCAGCGTCACCGCGCCTGCCTCTCTGCTGCTGCGGGTCTCATCATGAGCCGCTGCGGGAAATGTGCGATAAGTGCGGATGTTTGTGGTTGGAGTGCGGGGAGGGATCCTGGTGGAGGTGGTACTGGTGGTGGTAGAGATGGTGGTGGAGGTGGTACTGGTGGTGGTGGTGCGCCTTTAATCCTTGTTGTCAGGCAGAGAGGGCTCCGTGATAATGGGCCCTTGTGATTCTTCTTGTCTCTAATTCCGTTATAGCATCCATCTGTCACATGGGCCCGCTCTGCTGAGGCTGCTGCAGGAGAGACAGCGGTGATGCTGCACCGTCCGGTCCCTCTGCACACACACACACACACACACACACACACACACACACACACACAGACACAGACACACACACACACACACACACACACACACACACACACACACACACACACACACACACACTGCAGCTGCAACATCACACATTCTGTATATTGGTTTTAAATCTCCACTCGGCTCATTTTCGGACTCTTTCTCGATGTGTTAAGATGGCAGACTGATGCTCTCTGATGCTGTAAGGCTCTGGTTCCCAACCTTTCTCCTTAAAGAACCCTTTTCTATCATTAATAAAGCGACTCAGTGACATTAATATTTCATATTATATTAAAAACAGTGAACTCTTTGTATGTTTGTGTAAAACCAGAGATTTTGAGGAATCCTGAGCAGATTATTTCCTGTTTATAGAACTTTTTATACAATTCTCTGTCTGTATTATGTATTTCTAATCATTTCTAACAATCATACAGACTTAATAAGCTCTTTTTTGACAAATTCAGTGTTTTCTGTTGTTCTATCATCAGATATTTCACATTTCCTCACAGAAGTGAACCAAACACTGACATATTGGCCTTATGTGTATATTTAAGTTTTTTTTACAACCCTAAAATCAAGAAGGCCTCGCGACTCCCCCATGAAGCATCGGCGACCCCTAGTGTGGGTCCCGAGCCTGAGGTTGGGATCCACTACTGTAAGTCAGTCATTAAGTTGATGTCTATTATTGGGAGAAATCTTCAGTATTCGTTGGAACTCTTTTAGAGACGTTGATGATGATGAAGCTGTAGATTTTATACTGAGAGGTGTTTCTAATATTTAGGCTACCCTCCATTAGAGCTGCAGTTTTATGATGAAGGACTGTAGCTCGGCAGAGGAGCCCTGGTCTACAAATCTGTTTCCAGATGTAAGAAAACATGTTTGTTTGGTTCTAAAGGCCCCAACAGATTCCACATCCTCATGATTTTAGTGTCTCAGTCAGTGAAAATGATCATTCCCACTAATCGTATCTGTATATGACTTTGTTAGCATGTCGAGCAGCTCTAGTCTTCGAATAACGTGGAAGGGCAGAATATTAGAAACACCCCTCGGGATGTTGATGGTCAACACTGTGAACTGCATGTTAATGAGAAATCAGACTGAATTACAAGTTGCTTATTTCATGAGTGCCTATTGCCAGAAAGTAACTTTACTGTGACTGATGCCCCTAAAGCCCCTAAAGCCCCCGAGCAAGCTCAGTCTTTGGACCTGAACGGTACAGCAATGCTGATATACAGAGTGCAGGTCTGGAAATGTTAAAAATCCCCTCTACACAGTCATTTATATCTAGATCTGGGTACAAAGAGGATCGTATGCAGGAATAATTTAACTGGAGAAGTTTAGATACTATTTGGTTACTTTGGTCGATACCAGTGATTGACCCTGATTGGTCTGATTAATCGATTATCTGGCATTTTGAGATAATTGACATCAGTCTGTGCTGGCGAGGCGGCTGTGGAACAGTGTTAGCGCCCGTCTTTGTGAGTTTTGGGAAGGTGGTGAAAAGTTGGTTCAACCCATTATGGTCGACCACTAATTGATGCCTTAAAGGTATCAGGTACCACACAAGCCCTAATTGTTATTATACAATATCGATTATAGCCATTTGAAGTTCCTACAAAAAGGTCCAACCCAGTAAACACAATGTGTACTTTTATAAAAAGGGATTGCTCTTTAAGACTTTAAGAGATGTCTGTTAGCTCACTATTGAGCATCACAGACTCAGTAAATCTCTAGTGTGAATGCCACTTTCACTATAGTCACTATAGTTAGTGAACTATATGGACTGTGGGGACGGCCCAGGTCAGGTTCTCAGTCTCGGATACCCCACCCTCTGTGGACACGTGCAGCCAGAAATGATCAAGGTGTCTCCCTCCGGTTCCAGTAGGTAGAAGCTATATACGCCGCTGCGTTCCCCTCGGTGGGTGAATAATTCATAACCAACCAATTAGCTGGTTGGTAGAGTTGGACTGTAACAGCTGCTGTATTAATTACACAATACTTCTATTTAGCAGATGGAATAAAGCTGCAGAAGTGTGCGTTTAACTCACACAAAGACACACAGATCATTTGCTTTGTTCTTCAACAGGATTAATTTCAGTAACTGAGGCATCACAGGTCCACTCATCCACCTCTCCGCTCACCCACAGTCCATTTCTGATCCGTCCATAGCCGTCCCATCACAGCCAACACTGCAGGTATCTCACTGTAACATTATAGTGTGAACAACATCACACTGATGGTTTAGAGGTCTGGAACCAGGCTAGTGTGTTAACTTGTGTTTTCATTGATCATTGGTGGATGTGGTTATATTTCTGTTCTAGTTACAGAAGAATAGCAGGAAGTGTTAACTGTCCCGTGTGGGATGAAAATAGTATTTTGAATGATTGAAATGTGATTTAAAGGAGGCAGCATTTGAGGTTGTTGTACATCTGCTCAGAGAATGAACTCTCAGATCCACATAATTAAGAGATTGATTTCACAAACATTAGCCATCAATGTATTTGGAAAAGTTTAATTGAAACAGCAAAATGTGGAAAAAAACCTCCTAAATTTTGCTAAAACATTGTTCGAGGTGGTTTTTGCCTTTTGGAAAAAGAGTTGTGTGGCCAACATTGAAACCAAACAACCGATGAGCTATATTCCCATTGTTTTTCTGCATATTTTTGCTTCGACTGGCGCTTTTTTAACTGCGTTGTTGTGTCCTTTTCTTCTGGTTTTCTAACTGGAAGCTTGGCGCCACCCACTGCTTACGTCTAAAACCAGCTCCTATTAATAGCGTAACGGTAGCGGATGGAAGCAAGCAGTCATTTACATTTTCTTTTCCTGAATTACTAAAAATTCGGTTATAATTGGCGATAGATTTGGATGGAGACACTAGCGACTCTAACCACAGCTTCAGCTGATGTCAGCGGGTTGGATATATCACTTGAGTTCAGGAAAACAAGAAATCACCGAACATGAAGATGATGTCAGACTGAACAATAAAGTCAGTCCACTTAATCTCTTAGTTTATTGGCAGAAAACCAGTCAACCACTAAAACCTGCGTACAGCTTCTCCATTGTGAGGAATATTACGTCACATTACAGCATCATTGTGAGTTCTGGGAGTTCTGACTGTTTGAGAGATGAGTTCAGACCCACTGTGTTCAGTGCCTGCAGCATCTTCTCTGACTGTGACTCCCCCGAACCTGAAAGGTCACCGACACCGACTGACTCACTCTGTCAATGTGCTTATGTGCATGTAGAGATGTAAAAATTGTGTGTGTGTGTGTGTGTGTGTGTGTGTGTGTGTGTGTGTGAGGCGGTGAAGAAGAGCGATACTCTGCTTGTTGATGGCCGTTAGTATGAATCGAAGGCTCCAGTGCTGAGCTGGCAGACAGGGAAGCCGTATATCATTAAACCTCCTCCACAAGTGTAGGGCAAGCCCACGCTCTTTGTTACTGTGTGAGTGTGTGAGTGTGTGAGGTGTGTGTGTGTGTGTGTGTGTGTGTGTGTGTGTAACACAGGGGATCTCTCAGGGAGTGGACTAATGGTTCTTGTTCTTCGGATGTTATTCATGAACCAGATTTGCTGATTTTGATTCAGTGTATTAATATGCAGCAGCCACAGCACAAGACTCAATTGTATGAAGCGTAATTCAACCGAATAAAAGACTCATTAAACGTTAGTTTTTGCTTAAATTATAATTATTTTAAAATAATGTTTGAATGGTTTTGTTGAGATTTTAAAATACTCTGCGACTCATCTCTGTTAGCTCATTATTTTATCTTTTTTATTATTAACAAATGCAGTGAATTTATCACTGACTTGGTTCAAAAGACAGCAAAGTTCCCGAATGTTAAATGTTAGATAACACAGGTTCCAGGATACAAGTACAAGAAAGTTCAATAATGAAAATTCCGGTAAAAACTGGCAAAATGTGACTTTAAATAATAAACTGTTGGAGAATACAGACAAAAAAGTACAAATCTGACCAGAAATTTGATGTCAGCTTTCAGTATTAGATAGTTTTGGACACTATGGGACTGAAAAAGTATTAATTCAATATGCAGCTTTAGTATCATCCGACCTGTAACCTGCAACAGATATATCTTAAAAACCCAAATGCTTTTGGGATTTTCATATTGCACAAACATTTAGATTCATTGTGCTTTCCAGAACTATGTCCATGGAATTGACTGAAGTGCGCAATATGGCCACATAAAGACAAACATTATAATGTCTTTAACGCAACAAAACAACAGCGTCTTTAAACTGAAGCGCTGTTAGCTGTTAACTTTTTGCTCTCTACTGCCTGTTTTTAAAGTTCCCTCTCAGATTTTAATGGTTTGCTGTCTCTTCCCAGTTATGAGACGGCAGTTGGAACAATGCCTTCGTGGTGTGTGTCTGCTGGTCGACGCTGAATGGCGAGAGGCTGTGCTGACTCTGAACAATTAGTCAGTGTTGCTTCATGTATGTGTGTGTGTGTGTGTGTGTGTGTGTGTGTGTGTGTGTGTGTGTGCGCCGGGGGGGTTGAAGTACTCCTCTTTTTACGCTGGTTTCCCAGGCTCCATACAGCGCTCATTT